CGCACGGCAGCGGCACCATGAGCCGCGCGCACGCACTGCGCGGCAGCGGCACCATGAGCCGCGTGCACGCACCCGGCAGTAGCAGCAGAACGGGGCCCACACGACAACTCATAGGGGTGGGCCCACCCTTATCTAGACATGTCAAACTAACTTGCCGCCAGCTTACCTTATCCTTATCTTATCCCTATCCCTTATCTTATCCTATCCCCTATCCTTGTCTTATTTTATCTTCTTAAGTAGGAGTTGTGTTACCATTAGGAGTAGGTAATTAGGAGTTTAGTTTAAGTTGATTTACCCTAGCCTAGCCGAATCCAACAAGGAATTCTCTTCTGTAATCTCCTATTTAAGGAGCTATGAATTGAAATAAAGCATTCCGTTTTCAGCCAATAAAAGAGTGAGGAGAGTTCGGGTGGTTTCTTGGACAAATCACCCATTCAGTTCCGCAATAGGGTCTGCACGCAAGGGAAGCCAGGGCATTCGCACCATGGACCGGCCCGTGATGGGATCCTACACACGGGACCATAACAAATTGGTATCAAAGCCAAATGTCACGGGCGATATGGAGCAGCTGTCTTCCAAAGTCCACGAACTGGAACACCAACTTGCAGAAACCAGCATGGAGGTTCGTGAAGTCAGGGAAGACGTCCAGGAGATGCGACGCCTGCTAGAAGCATTCCTCTCCAACAAAGAAATGAGTTCAGAGGGAATCGCCAACACCAACAGACGCCGTCCGGACTAGGCAGGGGCATGCAGCGAACAACAGATCACTGCCCCTACAGCCGTAGTTATTTCCAAGGATCAACGCATGGAGGACAAAACTGTAAAGTCTCCTCCTTTGGTCGGGGACGATGTCACAAACATTATAGTAGAACCTGCAAAATGCACTCTTTTGACGGAAGCAGGTGGGCTTGGCGATGTTGCTGGGGCTTTACCGAAGGCCTTGGCTCGGCGTGGACATAAAGCTATGGTTGCGGCACCACAGTATGGTAACTATACAAAAATCCAAGAAACAGGAGTGTGCAAGAGATGTAAGGTGGGGGGGGCAGGATATAGAGGTAATTTCCTTCCAAGCTTATACTGATGGCATAGATTTTGTGTTCATGGACAGCCCTATGTTTCGTAATATTGAGGAAAATATATATGGGGAAGGCCGAGAGGATATTTTAAAACGCATGGTCCTCTTCGGTAAGGCCGCCCTTGAGGTCCTCGACTGTAAGCATACCCGGTGCATTGTTAGGATCCACAACATAGCACACCGGGGTCGTAGTCCAGTACGTGATTTCTGTTATATGGATCTTCCACAAAACTACTTCAAACTATATGGCCCAAGAGGTAGGGAACACTTCAATGGCCTTGCAGCTAGCCTGAATGCAGCAAAGCGGGTAGTCACTATAAGCCATGGTTACGCCTAGGAGCTGGAAACTAAAGAAGGTGGCGGGGGTCTGCATCAAATAGTTCAGCGTTATGCACTGAGAGACGAGGCAGTCCCTGTTGTTCATACTGTTGGTGGACTAAGAAATAGCG